CTAAGTAGGTGCTTTAGACCACTGAGCCATCTCACCAGCCCCCCATCACAACTCTTAGTGGCAGCACGCAAGCCTGTAATCCTAGCACTGGGGTGGGGGGAGCTGAGTCAGGAGGACTGCTGCAAGGATAAGGCCAGCCTGGGCTCCACAGCAAGACTCTGTCTCAAACAGCTAAAAATCAATGTTTTTCCCATGTAGTTTCAACTGCAGGTTCCAAATGTGGAGGCAGAAGCCACTGGGGCTGGGTGTGGGGGGGAGGGCGCTTCTTTCCGTGGTCTGTGGTACCACGATGCCCACGTCACTCTAAGGTTCTCAGGTAGAAATGTCTCTCCATGTCTTGTAAAGCTGCACGAGTCTCTTCCTTATGCCTGGGATGCTGCCTTAAGGAGCAGAGGCCTAGCTGTCAACCTCTGTCCCAAGCTCCCAAGATAAGCAGATGACAAATCTATCAGATCTCTTCACCCTGTGGATTTCTCAGACTTCACCACTAGGCTGTATCCTTGATGAATGGGACAGGCTTGATCCTGATTATTTAAAACAAGAGCAGCTTATCTACTACTGTAATACAGTCTGGGTTCAACAGGAACTGGAAGGTGGCTAAAGATGAGTACGGGATGGCACTCTGCACTGTGAGATACTGTATAGTTACAGCGCTGCTGCTTAGGACATGAAAGGTGGCATGAAGTGTCTTCTGGTCAGGCTTTCATAACTCTTTATCAGAGGGAAGGTTCACGAACCTATGGCACTCGGTGCAGGCCCCCAGGAAGACAATACAGGCTGGATGACGCAGTTCTAAGACCCCCATTTTTCACTCAGGCTTATCTCAGTCTTGCTGATCTATTTAGGAAGGATAACCACACTTGGAGGCCACCTGACCCCTGTTATAATCCTCAGGCCCTAGAACAGCTGCTCTTACCATGAGGATGAAAAGGAGCATTAAAATGTCTGTTAACTATGATGCAGTGCACAGAAGGAAATCCAGCTTTGTTTCATAACTGATTTGCTTCCTATATTCCAAAAGTATATGAATACAGATCCACCTTCTACGGAGGGAGAGGCACTAGTTAGACAACATTTCATCTGTCAATGACCTGAGATAGTCAGTATAACCTAAAAAAAAAAAATGGGGCCTCAGATGCTGATAACCCAACTGCCGGACACAGGCTTTTCTGTGTTCAACAATCAGGACCCAGAGGAGAGAGAAGAGAGAAAGGCTAAGCCTATAGCTGTTGCCATTGGTAATGCTCTAAGCCCACCAGATCCTCTAAGGAAAAGCCCCAGGACAACCAAGGCAAGAGCTCCTGTTTGACGTGTCAGAACACTGGACTCTGGGCACAAGACAGCAGCCAACCTCTGCCTGGGCCCTGTTCAAAGTGAGAGGCAGGTAATGTACCCACCTCTAGTACCGGAGGCCTGACTGTCCAGCTCCCAGAGAGGCCAGCACTTTCATTTCCTGCTCTGACAACTGAAGAGGGGACCCTGCACTGCCCCTGTCCATGGACACCACCATCTCCTCTGAGGAACCCTGGGTAAAATTAGATACATGGGTGAGCCAATTCAACTGTTTATTGATATAGGGACAGTTCATTCTGTTTGATTTCCTTCTCTAGGAAACTCTAAGTCTGTAACCACAATGCGGGATGTAGGTACCTGTAGTCAACAGATTTTTTACTCCTGCTCTGATGTGTTACTTGGAAGGTCAAATGTTTAACCATAAGCTTCTAATAGTAACACAGTGTACTGCTCCCTTGCCAGCAAGAGATTTATTAACAAAGTTGGGCGTGATTTTCAAATTCTGGCTAAAGCCAAACTCATTCACCTACTACACTAGGTCTCCCTGACCGAATTAGCCAACAGATGAATCCTGCCACGTGGTGTAGGGAATACCTAGTAGGGCAAATTCAGCTATGCCAATAGTTAAAAGACTAAAAGACCCAACTGACTTTCTTACCAAAAACAGTATCCAGTCAAGGAAGAGGCACGCAAAGACCTCCAGCCTCTCATAAGCATATTTCTCAAATGCAGCCCTTAGAAACCTCGTCAGTCCTCCTGTAGTACTCTGGTTCTCCCTGTAATTAAGTCCTCAAAAGATATAGGATGGTACAAGACTTCCACCTAACTAACGATGGATTGTTAACGCCAATCCATCCTCTAGTGGCAAATCCATATATAATTCTCTCCCAAATTCTAGATGATAATAATTGGTTTTCAGCCTTATATTTAAAAGACCCATTCTTTTCCACCCCCCTACACCCAGATTCTCAGTTTCTGTTTGTCTTTAAGTGGGAAAATCCCATTTCAAGAGAAAAACAATATACTTGGACCGTACTCCCCCAGGGGTTTAAATACTTATTTATTTATTTATTTATTTATTTTGTGTGTGTGTGGCCAGCTCAGCCCACCAGGGGGCGGGGCTGGGGGACTGAACCGTGGTCCCTGTGCTTTGCTTAGCTTAGCTTGTTCTAAGTAGGTGCTTTAGACCACTGAGTCATCTCACCAGCCCCTCCCCCAAGGGTTTAGAGACAGTCCTTACCTTTCTGCTTGAGCACTAGAAAAATATTTGAGAAACCTAAAGCTAGAATAAGAAGCCTTCTTATAGTATGTAGACGATATTCTATTTCACAGCCCAATTCAGGAATTATCTAACTATAATATAACTCTGTACAGACTCTCAACATTCTGGCTAGAAGGGATATAAATTCTCCAAAGAAAAGGCTCAGGGGGCTGAGGAGATAGCTCGGCAGTCTAAGTGCCTGCCTAGCAAGCACAAGGACCTGGGCTCAATCCCCAGTACCACATGCCGTGCCAGCCCCAGAACCCTGGGAGCTCAGTGCAGGCCCCGAAATCAGGCATGGTGGTGCATGCCTGTAATCCCAGTGCTGGGGAGGAGGATACAGGAGGATCACCATAAGTCTGAATTGCATAGCAAGACCCTGTATTAAATAAACAAACAGGGGCCAGGGAGATGGCTCAGTAAAATAAGTGCTTGCCTGGCAAGCGCAAGGGCCTGAGTTCAATCCGTTTCTGCCAATAAATAAATAAATAAATACTTTTTAAAAAAAATTTATTTATTTTTTACATTTATTTTTTGTGTGTGTGTGTGTGTGTGTGTGTGTGTGTGTGTGTGTGTGTGGCCAGCTCAGCCCACCAGGGGGCGGGGCTGGCTGGCATGTGGTGCTGGGGGATTGAACAGCGGTCCCTGTGCTTTGCCAAGCTTGTTCCAAGTAGGTGCCCTAGACCACTGAGCCATCTCTCCAGCCCCAAATAAATACTTTTTAAAAGAAAAGGTTCAAATACCTTCCAAAAAACCTCAATATCCAGGATATATATATTTGGTAGTAGAAATCAAACTCACAACCTTGTGATTGCCAGGCATGCACTATTCCTCTGAACTATCTCCCCAGCCCTGTGACACATTCTCACACCTGGAAAAACGACAGCTTTCTAGGGACCAGACCCAGGCTGTGATCTTGGGTCTCTCACCACCAAACAATCTCATTCCTTCCTGGGAATGGCACACTTGCAATATCCGGCTACCTGATTTTGGACTAATGGCAAAGCCTTTATATGAGGCAATAAAAAGCCCCAAGGCTTTTTGACAAAAGTGACTGACCATGCCTTCAGGAAATTAAAACATGCCCTTACTCAGGATCCAGCACTGGGAATACCTGATTTGCAACCTTTTTTTCTTTATGTATCAGGAAAAGGAAGAATTTTTTTTTTGGGGGGGGGTCTCGACCCAAATGGTGACAAGAGCTCTGCCCAGTGGCATACTTTGCAAACAAATCAGATGGAGTGGCCGCTGGATAGCCACCATCGCAGGACAGCAATAGGAGATACTGCTATACTAACAGAAGAAGCCACAATCTTAACTTTGGGACAGAGATTGGAAGTTCTGACTTCCTATAAGGTCAAATCTATGCTGGAGACAAAAGATTACTTGTGGCTAACAGGAAAATGGCTTATAGTTAGCAGGCTATCCTCTTAGACATTCCTGGGGTTTTTATTAAAACTCACACTACTATTCATGCTGTTTCGTTGATGCCTATTTAGCCACTTCTGTGAAAAATTAATCTTCCAGAGCTATGTAAGCAGGGAGGACCTCAGTGGTCTACCTCTCCAGGACCATGGTGTTATGACTCACAAATAAAAGCTTTTGTCCAAGAAGCACCCAAAAGAAAAAAGAGATTCCTGTGAACCTCTAGAAGACTTGAAATTTCTCTTTAAAAATCAAAGCTCTATGGGGGCTGGTGAGATGGCTCAGTGGTCTAAAGCACCTACTTAGAACAAGCTTAACAGAGCACAGGGACCACGGTTCAATCCCCCAGCACCACATGCCAGCCAGCCCCGCCCCCTGGTGGGCTGAGCTGGCCACACACACAC